AGGGTTTATCTAACAGGCACTAAGTCCATAGTTGTCGATGTTATCTATTTGGCACAACTGCCATTCTTATCTATTACGCATCGCTGTCCGTGTTATCTATTAGGCATAACTGCCAATGTTTTCTACTAGGCACATCTGCCAATGTTATCCATTGGGCACAACTGTCGGGTTTTTTAGAGTTCCATTGGACTGTCTAGAATCGTCTGTGGTTGTCATTTATAATCTGCTAGATGACCGGATCAACATTAAAGTCAAGGCTTCTTATCATCTTTCACCTCTCAACATCTATATCATCTTTCATCTTTCATCATCCATATCATCTTTCATCTACCCATCTTTACCTAATATGTTTATAGGTATAAAAATACATATACAGTTTAAACCAAGTAAAACATCTATAAATCGTTCATCTAGTATAGATATCAGGAACACAGATAATAAGCACAAATAGCATATATTAATATTCAATACTCCATATATGTGTGTAAGATGAAAGTAATTATGCACTCACTTGTTAAAGTGACGACTTGAAATTCGGGCAGCACTTTGCTTCTAGCAATTGTCTTTTTCTTTGACGTAACCTAGTATCACTATCACTAATGTTTAGCCTAATATTTATTGCGACTAATTATTAGTCTTGATTCATCATTAACTCAAAGTCTACTTCAAGATCTATCAAGTAAGGAACAACCAAGTAGGATCATATCGGAGGTAGGGTCCGTTTGGTATACGAAGTATACTGTTTGGAAATCTCACTTTAAACAGCTCACTAAATCTAACCTAGACATCATCCCCATATGTACATCAATTAGTATAACGACTTGGAATCACTAGTAAATCTTGTTTATAGGTTCATAATAACGATAATGAGCTTAAACATATGTTATACTTAAAGTACGGTAAGCATAAGTTAACTTACAGGTGGTTAAGCGAGAAACCGAGCTCTATGCTGGCAGGACTTCTGAGCCGAAAGCTCTTTTTCTCGGGGCTTTCCAGTGCTCCGGTGCTTCGCTACTAACACCTAAGAGGTGCAAGATAAAATCTTATAGGATTTGGGGGTGTTTGGGAGAGATTTAGATAGAAACATGTGAGGAGAAGAGTGATTTTTGAGCTCTATTTATAGGCTGTCAGTGCCCAAGTATGCGAGGCGTACTCAAGAATTACGTTGGGCATAATGGGTTTTTATGGGTTACACTGGGCATACTAAAAAATTACGTTCGGCATAATGTGCCACATGTCGCAATCTTGTGGCAAGCCATGGGGTAGAAGGTGTGGCCTAGATCTTGCGACGTGTCACTCGCTGGTTAATCCCAAAAATTAATTATCTTCTAAAATCTGTAACTTCCGCATACAAACTCCATTTTTGGCGTTCTTTATATCCACACATAGGTATCAATGTGATCTACAATTTTCGTTTAGACTTTGTCAGCTAATTTTGAATTTATTTTAAAGCTATATTTTAACAGGCTTAGACAGTTGAAGTTCTTTAAAAATTCATAACGTTGTCATCTGACGTTTGTTTTCGACTGTCTTTATATCGTTGAGCTCCTATTAACAAGATATTCAATTCTCCTTTAGTTTATGTTGGCTAATATTCGATCGATCTAAAATTCGATTTCCATGCTGTATACTTATACGCCGAATCTTAGAAAAATTGTAACTTACTTTAACGAAGTCAGATTTGGATATCCTCTATATGCACACTCTCGGTTTAACGTCTATTACGACTTTCGTTTAGATCTCTAAGGTTAAAAAGTATTTTGTCAAAAATTTATTTTTTACGATATGCGGAACCGTGTGGGTTTAATCGTGAAACTTCGATAGGTCATAACTTCTTCGTTATAAGCCGGATTTTAGCGGTCTTTATATGTACGGAATCCTTTGACATGTACTATAACTTTGGTTAAGATTGTTTATTCTAAATATACTTCTATCAAAAAGTCATTTTTAACACTTATTATCTCTAAATTGACTAGCCAGAATCTGTGGGAGTTACAAAGGTGATGGATTATTGATATCATACATAAAGATGTATGTGGACCCCTCAAATATACCACAAGGGATGGTAAACACTATTATGTTATGTTTACGGATGATTTTAGTAGATATGGTTATGTGTATATGATTAAACATAAGTCAAATACCTTTGAAAAGTTCAAAGATTATCAAAATGAAGTAGATAATCAATTAGGCAGGAAGATAAAGGTTCCCTGGTCCAATAGGGGAAGTGAATACCTTAGTATTGAGTTCTACGATCATCATAGAAATTATGGAATAGTTTCACAGTTAGTTCCTCTAACAACAACAAAATTAAATGATGTTTACGAATGAAGAAATCGAATCCTATTAGATATGTTTTGATCTATGATGATTTAGGCTTCATTACAAATTACATTTTGGGCTTATGCAATTGAAATTGTAGATCATATCTAAAACCTTGTTCCAAATAAGAAGGTTTCAAAGATACCTCATGAGATATGGACTGGAAAAGTTCCATGTTAAGGTCTGGGATTGTGAGGTTATTGTTTAGCGTAAATCCCAATACAAGCGCGAGTCAAGATCTGAGAAGTGTTTGTTTGTCGACTATCCATAAAAGTCCTTTGGATATTTATTTTATAGACCAAGTGAAAACATGGTGTTTGTATCTTGAAAAGGAGTGTTCCGTGAGAGAGAACTTATATCTCAAGTAGTCAGTGGGAGTCAAATTGACATTAAAGAATTACAAGAGTCAACTGACATTGGACCTATATAGGACACTAACTTTCAAATAGAGGTTGATAAACCTATTGAACCAAATGACATTTCCTTACCTCTTTGTAGATCTAGTAAGGCTAGCTAACCTCACTACTAGAAAAACAGCCTTTTACGACGCTCATTGCGCGTCGTAAAAGGCTCAGACGACGCGCAAATGCGCGTCAAGGAAGGCCCTGTCATAAAGAAAGACGACGCGCATTTACGACGCTCATTTATGACACGCAATTACGACGCGCATTTACGACACGCAATGCGTATCAAGGAAGGCCCTATTATAAAGGAAGACGACACGCATTCGCGTGTCATAACCTTACGATGCGCGTGTTAATGACACGCAATGCGTATCAAGAAAGCCCCTATCAAGAAAGGCCATGCCATAAATGAAGATGACACACATTTTTGCGTATCATAATTTTAAATGTTTAAAAAATATATTATTTATAGATTTAATTATTTTCAAATTAAATATTTATTTAATGTTTCATAATAGAAAATAAAATATCATATACAAAAAATAGAATCCATTGCATAAATTTAATGTCATATAATTCTATTTCTTACAATATATAAATTTGCATCTAATCTACTATGTACATCAAGTTCCAACTAAGTAAAGTTGCATCTTGCCTTTCATAATTCTTTAAAAGTAATGTTCCAAACAGCTGATTATATGGATATGCAATTGTACATTGGCCCATCTCACTTAATAATGACTTAGCCAAATTCAACTCCAAGTCTTTACTGCATCTTGCTGATAATGCTGCAAGATTTAAATCAAGTGGCTTCATATTCCTTTCTTCCATCAACTTTACCTAATGCACAAAATACACAGAAACAAAAAAAAAAACATTTTAGAGGAAGGGGTAATTTGGGAAAATGTGAGGGGTATAATATAATAAAAATGCAAATACTTAATACCACTTTCATGCCATCATGGAAACCTGTTGTGAATTACATAAAGGCCCTACACCAACACAAGGCTTTTGTTTGATTAAGATCCTCAGCTGTTAAACCAAATACAAAAAGCATGTCAGAAGAATAAAACTAGATGTAGATGAAACTTTAAAAGAGGTTGATCCATCACATTACATAAAGGCCCTCCACTACCTTAAGCAATATTTGTAGAAAAAGTACTTCTTCAGGGCTAAGGTTGCCTACATAAACGGTTGTGTACTGATAACTCTTAATTTGAGAAAATTTTCAAAGACAAGTCCATCATTTTCAGCCATTGACAATTCCTGGACAACTTTTTCAAGTCCTTTGCTAATAGCTTGCATTTCCTCTACCAAATATTTTAATTGTACCTGAAAAATAATAAATAATCAATAAATTCTTAATTACATTTACACATGTTTTAAATTTCTAAATATTTGAATAAGATTAATTGTGATCACCACCCTTGATGCAGGTTCCAAACTGTCAAGATCCTTGGAGAAATCAAGGAGTTCAGGTAGTTTGTCAACAAGCACCAAAAATTAATTAATTATCCACAACATTATCTTGTTATTTTAAAATTTAATTATTTTCCATACAACATATTAATCAAATCTGAACCAAATAGCAGCGCCTAAAATGACACCAAATTAATCAAAGTCAAAGTCAAAGTCAAAATCAACTATAACAAAATATTATTATATTTAATAACATAAAATAAACAAATGAAAATATTGACCTCTTGTTGTTCCTTGGTTCAAAGCATTTCCAAGTGTGACAATTGTTTGCATTACTCTCCTGAACTTACAGGAACTTCTGATCTGATAAAAGTTTAATTAGATTAAATTCTTGGATTCGTGAATTGAATCATAACTATGCTACTGTTATAGCAAGAAATGGTTATCTGGGTGCTATAGTTGAAGGATGCTTCTCCAGATGGAAGGTAATTTAGAGGGTCGAAGGAATCTGCTTTTTGATTAAAAGACCAAAATACCCTCGTTATATATATATATATATATATATATATATATATATATATATATATATATATACACAATACATTGAACTAAAATTTTCTTTTTTAGTGGTGAGGGCAGGGGGCTTGAACCAAGGTCATCTGGACAAAATGTTGGTGGGCCTCCTAGTTATGAAGATGCTGTGAGTGACGGTCATAGCCCTGTTGAGACCAAGAGGTAAATTAATTAATTAATAAGTCAAAAGATTTATTTACTTGTAAATTGTAATATATATATATATAGTAATGGAATCTAGTCTAACTTGTAAGCATTTTAAGGACTGGTGAACATTAACCATCAAGAAATTCCGGCAGCAACTGCCACACCACCTCCAGTTACCACTACGCCGCCACCACCTGCAGTGACAGTCAACTGTTCTCAAGATTTACATCTTGATTCATCAGAAAAGTAATCACTAGTCTCTTGATGAGATGTACTCACAATCTTCTGATGGATGAATCCTTTGATGCCATTCAAGACTACTTTGGGTATCTAACCCTGAATCCAATCTTCTGATGGATGAATCCTAAAAATACATGCAAGGTGTTTAAAGAGATCTCTTACTCTTTACATATAGCCAGCATGAATATTAATGTAGCATATGAATTTTAAATAGCAGTACCTGCTCCACATTATTAAATTACTGGAAATGACATGGAGCATTATGAAGTGGGGCCTCACATATTGCAATTCGAAATGTGTTTATGGGATACAAAGCCTGGATAGAATCGCTTGCAATTTAGTCTGTCATTAGAATATTTTTTCAAAGTTGTAAATCTTGAGAACAGAGCTGACATAAAATCATAAACAAATATATATAGTCATCCTTCCTGCCAAAGAGTTACCTTTAAGTACATTAGACCCAAAGCAATTATAGCCCCAAGTGCAGTTACATCTATATTGATCTGGGTTCCATCCATCATCTGCAAGCAACAGAAAACAAAAGCAGAAAATTAATGAAAAAATAGAAAGGGTAATCAACTTTCCAAAAAAACAAGTAAAAAGCACAACCTGCCCCGAACCACGATTGTGGTCATCCATTGATCCGTTGGAGAGATGGGATCTTTCCTGAGAAAAGGCAATTTAACAAAAAAAAATCATCTACATGAAATATTAATTCTAGTCATCTTTAAAGTTTAGGGTGTGTGTGTGTGTGGAAAAGATACTTGGACTAGGGTGGATGCGATTAGCCTACCGCCTACTGTTTTGCTCAATGTAACCCCAACAAACATATGATATTAATTCTCCACTGAAATTGAAACAAGAGAAGAAAATATTTACATTAGGAAAAAGAATAATCACTGCATTATAACAATGGAGAACACAACCTTAAGCATGTATTTTGCTCGATGGAGCCTTCATTGTTAAAGGAAGTGATAATCCGCAAGGCAAGATTTTCTAAAATGTGTAGGAACTACTTGTCGACATTCTCAGGATTTCTTTTAGCTTCCTCCTCCTGAAGATAAAAGACCATGTTAATTAGATTCCTTGTCAAATGTTTGAAAGTCCTGTATATAATTCAGCCTTACGTACAGTCAGTTCCTTCTTAATCATTTTTGTTGAATCAAGAAGGCGCTCTTCATCAATAAAAGGAAACTTGCAGATACCCTACAAAAGAGATATTTTTGAAACATAAGAAAATTATAGGCATATTAAACATGGCTGTTGAAGGGATCCATAGGTGTTTGGAACAATAATCATATCCCCTAACCTGCCAAATAAATCTTTTTCCATCTGTGTCGACATCAAAATCTGAGTATAAACAACAACATATGTATATAATCAATAGTGTTCATAATGATATTAAGCAACAAAATTTATCTATTAGACAGCTTAGAATGGGACATACCATCAACATAGAAATCAAGAATCCTTGAATCATCAGTTGTCATGAGTGACCGATATGAAGGTGGAAGTGCATGGGCACTACAAGAGCACAAATTAGATAAGATCATGAAAAAAAACCAGATCAACCAATGTAACCAAGTTTATAAAAAAGAAATTTAAGAACATACCTAGTTTCACCTAACAAAATTTAGTTTAACTATTTCTTAGTTGTGATAATCTACAGCCTGAAAAGAAGGAATGTTCACAAGAACGATCCTTAGTTACCATCTCCAACAAATTAAGAAAAAGAATAAATACAGGCTTGCCCTGTATGCATTCGAGTGCAAGGTGTGATTAGGTACCATATCACTTGGTCTTGTGTACATCAGGTAATGTTATAAGGTATGAATTAGGTAAGATTCTTCTTTTAAGCATTTCTTCGAACACTTGGAGTGCATAGCTCATCTCCTTCCTTTTCTGCAAGTTTCCAGAATCTAGGGTTTAATATTCTATTCTCAAAACATATGTTCAATATTATCAATACAAGCAGAAAGTAAAGAGACCACAAGAACATACAAAAATACCTGCTTACTTTTTTTGAAAGAGCAAAGGATCGAGAATTTTGAGGTAAGGATGATGACGATGCGCTGGCTGTGAGCATATGCGAGCAATAGAAACAGGAAAATGAAGGCTGAGAAATTAAATCTAGCTAGTGTTTGCAAACACATTTGAACCTAAAAATTGATTTCAGGGGCAATCTTGCGAGGATTTCGAGAAGGAGAGACTTAGTGAGGTTTTGAATATCGTATGAGAACGTATGAGCAAGGAGAACAAGCCCTAGAACTGATGATTCCGAAAGAGGGTTTACTTGTGTTGAATCGATTAGTGTGATTACCTGAGATTGAGAGTGTTTTCTCTTTCTTGAATAGGTGATGATCTGATAACGGTGGCTTGGAAATGAGTTCTGATCACCATCATCGTCGATGTGATTGCCGATTTGATTGATTGAATTGTTGGGTTCCATTTAACGGTGGTTTGAGGTTGGAAATGGAAATGGAAAGAGCGCCGCCAAGGAGATTGGGGAGCGAAAGAAGAGAGAATCAGAGATGTTCGAAGTGTGGATTGAGTTTTTCGGGTTCAATTTCAACTCAATTAGTAAAGATTCCAAAACGATTACACCTCCCTGTACCCCACTCAATAATCGAAACCATTGAAATTCTTGAATTTTGTATGAACTTTTCTCATGAATGATGTTCACGTCGTCGGCTCCAAAGCGCCATAATCATGCCGAGATCCAGAATCGTATACGATTGTTGTTTACAAATCTGTTGTTGAACCCTGAATAATCGACCTAGGTATTCCCACCGCTGAAGATGAAGATGAAGGACCTAGGGCTTTTTCTTGCTAAGTAGAAGAGGCGGGGGATTAATTTTTGGGATACAATAGGCGCCAGTAATTTTAGTCGATTTCATTTCCCGCCTAAAACGCGTGTTTCACTTAAAAATTATAAAGCGACACACTTACATGACGCACAATTTATGAAAGGCGCCCTCCGCATTTATTTATTTTTCTTTTCTAACACCAATTTTAGGGCGCGCACAAATGCGTGCCCTCTATCCTTCAAATTTTGCAAAACTGACAGTATTTTTTAGGGACTTACAAATGCGCGTCCTCTATCAGCGAGTGTCATTGTTTGCGCGTCATTAAAGGGCTTTTTTCTTGTAGTGCCTTATGATTTTTATGGTTTCCGTATAACTGTGGAAGGAGAAACGTTGATCAATAATAGGTTATTGGTCAATTTGGAAGAACTAGTCAAATACAAGGAAGCAATAGCAGGCGCTAAGGCTTCCAAATGGAAAGAGGATATGGACAACAAATTTTAGTCCATGATGGACAATCA